TTTCCACCATGGCCAGATTTGAGCGGAGCCCGATTTGGACCACTGCAAATGATTTGAAAAGAACTAGTTTTGTTTTTCATGGTTTTAAGTAAAAAATCAGGTACACATCTTTTGCACCAATGACACTAAAGCAGGACTAAAGTGGAAATAAAGCAGGACGAGAACAGGAGCGAACCAAGTCTGAGCTCAAATAAGTGAAAGTGTTCATTTTGACAACCCAAAGCAAGTGGAAATTGAGAATCATGTGAGTCAACTGTACCAGCAGGCAGAAGCAACATGCAGGTAAGACAACCAAGCAAGCAAAACAGCAAAGAAAGAAGATTTGCATGGGATTCAGCATTATGATTATTTACAATTCAGTACTAGTAGTATTCAGCTTATGTGATGGTTCAGGTAAGATGCCTGTGTTTTTATTTTTACCCAGTGTTACAGCCCACAACAAGTAATCCAGTGTGTTTCCTTACACCAATCACTACAATATAATATGTAGGGGAGAGTGGGGCAGGTTTTCACTCTGGGTAAGTTGCAACACTACATTTTATTTAAAAACAAAAAGCTTCATTACAAAATTAAATGGTATTTTGTGTGTTTTTGGGGCTGCACTTTTGTCCTGAATTTTAACTAATTTGTTTGCCTACAATTCAGATTACAAATATTCATAGCTTCCAGATATAACGGTAGTTCAAGGCAACTTTGTTCATTGATTTTTATTGTTTTATTGTAGTCTCACACTTTGTAGTTGCCATTTGAACATTTTATTTGAGACTGAATGTCCAATGAAAATGGGGCAAAAATGTTAGGAGGAGCTGCTCCCAGCTGGCACTGCCTCTGCTCACAAAAGAAAAAGAAAGACATATGTCGACATCTGAATAAATCTGTATGTTTGCCCACAAAGTAAAATAATCACAACAATACATCAACATCCTCATTACTTCGCATTTCATCTAAAATAAATTCAGTAATTCAATTACTCCAGTCAGCCCAGTGTCAGAACCATAACAAAAGCAGACAGCGCCTCATTAGACAGCGGCTTCAAAGAACACAGGGGTCAGGATTGGACTCAGAGGAAATATGCTTCTCATGCAAATGATTGCATTTTATTCTCTGCTCCAACTATTGTCTGTTGCCGTGCTGCTGATGGTTGTCAGTGATGACCATATGGTGTCTGTTTAAGAAGCCGCTGTCACAGCAGCTGAAGGAATAGAACACTAACTATGAGGGGGTAACAACTCACAAAACCAGACCTACTTCATCATTCACAGATGTTAACATAATGATCCTATGGTGAGTTGTAGTCATTTAAAATGCCTTTATATATCATGCTGTTTTCTGGTGTATTTTATAAAGTTCTCATCAAAAACAAACTTAGAGTTGTTTAATTCACACATGTTTAACACACAAACCCTGCATATTTAGGCTGAATTCTTCCCTCGAACAGAAAACAGTGCACCTTGTGATGTCATGTGGTTATACAGGAAATGCTCCACTGTGTTTTTGAAACTTCATACACCTTCACTAAAATAATTTTAGTAATTTCCTCCCTGGAATTGCCAATCTGAACAAAAGGTAACCAGTAGCTGTTAACCTGAAAATTATTGCTACATAACATCACAAAGTGGGACGGAGCATTTTGAGGGATGTAAACAGACTAATAATGGAGGATTACTCAAACATGTGTGAAAGAAACAAAACACAACTCCAGCTATGTTTTTGATGAGGTGGCAGCTTTCTAAGTTGTCTTAAACCTCACAATTTTGAGTAATATAGGAACTTTAACTGTGGTTATTTTTGCTGAATTATTAAGTAAATATTTGTTTTTTAGATATATTTTTATTACTTGTGTATAATACCTCAGTTATACACTGACTGTAAATTCATTCACCAGTGATTGTTCAAATATTTTGTGCTTAATAAGGCCAGTCTAAAAACACAACCACAACACTGTCATGAGCAAAAAGAACAATACAGAAGAATGATCAATTCTAACCTACTAACAAAGAATCATTTAAACTGGAAATAATATATTATAAGACTTTAAAGATGTTATTATTGATAAAGCTACAAGCAAATAACCTAATTAAAAAAATAAAAATAAATAGGAACATGCAAATGAAACACATCATATGGCCATTTTTATCACACATGAAGCATATATCCACTTTGTATTCTTCATGCTCTATTTGTTGATTAGACACAAGATACAATCAGTGGTGGCAGTTCAAGTGACCTGCGGGGTCAGAGACATGCACTGAAGTCCTAATGTTGGCCCGTGTAGATGAGTATATATGGTAAAACCAGTTCCTAGGGTCAAAATAAGACAAACAGACTTGTGTCTGCATTAAAAAGACCTCTTGTATATAGCTTACTATTATTTTATTACTGTATTGCAGGGGTGTCAAACTCATTTTGATCCGGGGGCCGTATCCAACCTACTTTGATCCCAAAGGGGCCAGATCAGAAAACTCATAGCATATAAACCCCAAAAATATCAATAAGTTCAAATATTTGTGCAGAGAAACACAAATCTATTACAGAAATCTTTTTTAATTGATGAACTCTTTCTTTTACAAAATATTATAATATTATGAACAACCTGAAACTTTAAGAAAAATGCAATTTCAACACAATGTTTTAACATGAACTTGTATGTAAATAGGAATAAGTAAATTTTTGTTGTAAAATCCTGCACTTGGCTCCACTTTTCTCATTTTTGACATTTTGCTGATGAGGGTGTCACGGTCAACAGTCAAAACGATCGTCCTTTAAGAGCGTTTGGAAAGAGACAAGTCTTTATTTGTGCTGCTCTGGTGGGAGGGGCCACGTACAGAGACACTGAAGACGCTGCTGTGATAAACACCACAGAAAATTAACAATATTTTAATAGAAAATATAATTTAAATATTTTAGTAGAAAATCAGCAGAGAGTCAGATTAAAGGTCTTGGAGGGCCGGATCTGGCCCCCAGGCCTTATGTTTGACACCTGTGCTGTATTGTATTTTATTTTTACTTGTACATATACGTTTATATAATTTTGCCTTTCTCTTTATTATTATAATACGCTGTGATGTGTTCAAATAATTTCCATTGTGGATCAATAGAGGTTGTATAAAAATTAATCTAAAAAAAAACAACTGAATCTGAAAGAATTATGCGAGGACCAGAAAGTATACTGTTAACATGCTAGATATTGTTGCTCATTGCTGTAAATAATACAAAAACACACTAAAAGCACAGAGAATCCAGCATTCAGCTATGATGGGCACATATATATCAAAAATATTTATATACTGATACTGACAGAAATATCAAATATTAAAAACTGCAGCTGTAAGAGGAGGAGTTTGATCGGCCAGGGTCACCGAGCATCACTCCAATCACAAGTCAGAAAACTGAACAGAAAAGGCAGGACAGAGCGAGATAGTGGATATGGGTACAAGAGGAGATGAAAGCTAGACTACGTGTCCATGCGGAGACTTAATGGACGCAGACGTTTGTGCCAGTTGGTAGTGGGTATAAGACAGCGAGGGGAAGAAGTCACAGTCAATTCTACATCAGCTCAGTATTCCAGCTGAGTACACTGCTATACCCTTGTGTGAGGATGCTCTAAGACTGTAATAACAGACGCGTTATACAGTTCCACGTCACATCAAAAGGTCACTCAGAACGTGGCAGTAGGAGAAAAATCACGGTGATGAGACTGTGGTACAAAATAAAGTGCTAAAACTGTCAATACTGTTTACTTTTAAAGGTCATATACTGCACAAAATACTCTTGTGCGCTTTAAACCATGTTATAATGTTGTTACTTCATTAAAAAACATATCTGGAGTTGTGTTTTGTTTCATTCACATATGTTTGAGTAATCCTTTATTATCAGGCTGTCTACATCCCCAAGCTTAAGATGCTGTGTTCCAACTTGTAATGAAGCGCTGTTTTTCAAGTTAACAGCTACATTTTAGATTTTCATCTGTAGCGATTGGCAATTCTAGGGCTGAAATCATCCAAATGATTCTGCTGAAGGTGTATGGAGTTTAAAAACAGAGTGGGGCACTTCCTATATTCCCATATGACATCACAAGGTAGAAGTGTGTTTTCTGTTTGCGAGAAATGCAGAGTCTGTGTGTTAAACATGTGTGAATGAACAAAACATAAAACCAGGTTTGTTTTTGATGAAGAAACAACATTATAACAGATCGGAAAACAGCGTAATATTGAACCTTTAAAACATGCTATTTCATGCAACTGCAAAACCATCTATCATTCCCCTTGAACCAGTCCAGTTCAATAGAAAAATAAACAGAAAAAAATAAAAATAAAAGACAGATGAGTATAGATTAATCTTTTGTCAAACACATGCAGCCCACAAGCCAAGACTACAAGTGTATGTTATAATCGACTGTCAACTGTGGACACAAAGCTGTAGCCTGCACGTCCAAGAAAAATAACAGCTCCATGCACTTGTGGTTCTTTTATTATTATTATATTTTCTCTCTGTGGAAATGGACATTTACTGAGCTTTTGTTCATATAATTTCAATATCCTGTCTAATGCGGCATTGAAAATAGTGCCAACGCGAGATCATTTCAAATTAGATAAAGGCACTAGTCAACAGTGGACACAGCGAGGGCCATCTGTTATTTATTCAAGTTCAAACAGCAGCCACATGTATCAATCAATCTCTCGCTCCATTTGTGCCACTCCGTGCGTCACTGAGTGCTCTGCGCGCGCCTCCAAACTGCTGTCACTGCTACTGGAGTCCGCGCGCTCTCCACCACATTCAACAGGCGCCCGAGGACACTCGAACTGTAAGCCACTGTGCTTGTTATTACTTAGGAGTGAGCAGAGCTGGTCAGTGGGATAACGGGAAGAGGAGATGTTCTCTTTCTGGGTGACTTCACATTACGCGCTATGAATGCCTGAAGACAGACTACTCCCTGCGCTAAATACTTTATGTAGACAACATCTTTAAGGAAGGCTGTATCCCAGGAAAGGACGAAGAGAATGGAGGCTTCACACAATGAATCAAACGCGGCAATGAACTATACCAGCAAGTTCGTGCAGCCCCCGTGGCGTGTGGCGCTATGGTCGATCGCCTACAGCTTCATCCTGGCTGTGGCGGTGTTTGGGAACCTTATCGTCATCTGGATAGTCCTCGCGCACAAACGTATGAGGACCGTCACCAACTATTTTCTCCTCAACCTGGCTTTTTCTGACGCGTCAATGGCCGCGTTCAACACCCTCATAAACTTTATCTATGCCTCGCACGGGGTGTGGTACTTTGGGGAAGCTTATTGTAAATTCCAGAACTTTTTCCCGGTTACATCTGTGTTTGCGAGCATCTACTCCATGACGGCAATCGCGGTGGACAGGTGAGTATTTTTTTTTTCAATTTACTTCTGAGTCTACATTAAGATTAATATTCTCTTTCCTATATTTATATAGACTGCACTGAAACAATTTACCATCTCCATAGTATGACTTTAAACATATCCATCTAGCATTTATTCATTGTTGGTGTTTCTATTGCTCAAAAATATCATAATTCCTTCTCTAAATAAGGGCAGCTCTCCACAGATCTGAGCTGTAACGTAGTGTGGTGCTGTAACCTGCTTGTCTCCCTTGTGATAGATAGGTTTATTCTATACTGTGGAATATTGTAGGCAAAGCAATAAAAAGACATCTTCTTGGAAACAAACAGGTGGCGGACCTTCCTCTAGAAATGTTCTGCAGTGCACCTTTAATTAAATCAGTCATCATACAAGTTACAAGCCTTTCCTGCAAACTGTAGAGCAGGCTATCATAAACTAGTCTTTCTTGTTAGAGTGATCAAAGAGGCAAAGAGACATCCACTGTGCGGCAGCAGCACATGCACAAATGTCCCTGTGATTCAGAGGCTTTCATCTCAAATGCTTCATACACGGTTTTGTGGACACACTTTCTTATCGTGGCACTTGGGCATGCTGCTTCCACCTGAGGCGACAGAAAATATTTAGTTTGAAAAAAAAAAAAAAAAAAAGGATAATTCCCACATGTTTGATGTGCAGCCAGATGATGCACCAGTGCCAGTCCTTTGTTGTACCCAGTCTCTAGAGCAGGTGACTTTGCTTGACCATTGTGATGCAAGCTGCCAAGCTCCTTACATTTTGTTTAGTTTGTTTGTCATCTTTTTTTTTTTAATACTTTTTACTTTTTATACTTTATTGTGTCACATTTCTTATTTTAATCAATTATTGAAGACTGTTTGTCAGTGCAATATAGCAGAAACTAATAACTGACAACTCCAACTCTGCAGTCCATGCTTCAAAATCACATTCTCTAATCTACACTGGACATGTCAGTGAATTACTGGTCATGATAATGTTCCTCTCCACCAGTCAAGACAGAAAAATCAATTCCATGTTTTATAACTCACTGTAACAGTAGCATTTATGTTTAAATAACTGTACACTTTCTGACTGTATTACCAGCTTCCCAGGCTGTGGCACCAGCCCATGGCCCATAGCCTGCATATCCATCACTCCACATGTGGATAATTACTTTGGTTATGATGTAAATGTATAGTGCATGTCTAAGGAGGGAAGATGTATTTCCATCAGTGTAATGTGATGTTACGTGATGTACACACACCATTCACATTATAAGGTTAACTATGCTTCTAAACAGGACTACATGAGTCATTTGTAAGTGATTCACCTGCTGGAATCTAATGGGATATTATTTGGTCACAAGTAGATTCAGATATTTCAGACAAGTCTGTTTTTTACTTGAGGGGATGGTTGGAGACTAGTTTTTACTGATGTAGTTTGAGTTGGTAAAAAATATAAAACACAACACACTCCATCTTTGGGAAATAGCTGCAATAATCCAGTCTGTTTAATCCAAAATCCTGATAGGATTTCCTGTTTGCAGCGGTGTGAATATTTCACTCAGAGACCATGTCTGTTACACAGCGTCAGTGTCATGTTGATCTGGTCTTTACACTGAATCTCTGATACTTATGACTTGATATTATTCTATATTCTATATTGTCTGATTTAGAGCAGACCTATTATCCAAAATCGATTTGTCAGAATTTTAAACCATGTTATAGTTGTTTCTTCTTCTCATTTACCCCCTCAATGTTGTATTTGGATTCATTTGTGCATTTTTGAGCAATCTTTGATCACATTTTTGATCATTTTCAAGACACATTATTGCGATCAAGCCCAGTTTTCACCTCCACCTGCATACGCCCACTGCTCTGTACTTACTATGTTCTCCAATTTAATTTTCTTAATCTGTGATATGCGTTCTTTTTTTGTTTGTTTGTTTGTTTTTTGTCTTTTTTGCTGCTCTCTAGCATGGTGTGCACAGTGTTGGGGAGTAACAGATTACATGTACCGGAGTTACGTAATCAGAGTACAAATTATGAGTAACTGTATTCGGTTACAGTTACTACTGTTTCAATGAGTGGTAATTGGATTACAGTTACTTTGTGGAGATAAATGGATTACACGGTGGTATTTTCCTGTTTTCCCATTTCACATTTTGGGCTGTATCCCTTTTTTTTTTTTTTTTTTAGTAATTCCACTCAAACCAGGTCTAATACCAGGTCTAATACCAGGTCTAAAACCAGGTCTAAAACCAGGTCTAAAACAGGTCTAAAACCAGGTCTAAACCAGGTCTAAAACCAGGTCTAAATCAGGTCTAAACCAGGTCTAAAAACAGGTCTTAAACAGGACTAAAACAGGATTTAACAGGACTAAATCATGCTGCACAGACCGTGTCTCCTTCTCTTCTATCAGTAATATTTTTAACTTGGTCAAGTAAAGTCTGGGCTTTTTATTGTCTTTTAGCAGACAAAACATCTTATGTGAAGATTTCCTCGTCTTTGTTTCTCTACAGCAAATCAAGTAATCCAAAGTATCCAGATTACGTTACTCACCTCAAGTAATTTAATGGATTACATTACAAACTACATTTTAGGATATGTAATCTGTAGGGGAATACATTTTAAAAGTAACCTTCCCAACACTGGGTGTGCAGCTATCCATCTGAGTTTCCAGTTCTTTGTTGTGATGATGTTCACAGCAACGCCAGCTCCCACTGGGCACAGCAGGTTTGTAACGTGGAAGTCAGCGGACTTGTTTCTTTTATTTAGCCATTTTAGATGAAAATTGTAATTTAAAATGTGCAAATATAACATAACCCCCCACAGGGGTTGTAGATTATAACTGTAGCAGACACAAGCAATGCAGTTTAAATGGACTAAGATCTTTCAGTGTTGTAATGAGTGCTATAACAAATGTTCATTGATCGACTGGTAATAAAGTGGTTTCTGAGGATAAGTAAACCTTCGGTGTTATATTTGCAGAACAGTCATTGCACCTGGAAAAGTCAATTCTCTTTTCACACATTTATTTTCCCTTATTTCTCACTACATAAAAAAAAAAATGTGAAAGGAAGAGAGAAAGAAAAAAGTCAAGGCCTTTGCTGTTTTTATTTCTCTCATCCCTGCTGTTCATACTGTACATAACAAGTGTCAGAGTATCTATGAAAATAGAGAAATAATAAAGTATGCAAATGATTCTGTCATGGTGAGCTTGCTCCAGAAAAATGAAAACCAACATGGGCAAATTGTTGAGGACTTTGTAAAATGGTGTGAAGAGTCATATCTAGACCTAAATGTATTCAGAATGAAGGATTATTGACTTTTGGAAAAAATGCTCCTCAGAATGACGTCACATATATAAAGAGGCAGTCAGTTGAGTGTGTAGAGTCTTCTAAGTATCTTGGAACGCTCACTGATTCTAAATTGACTGTATTACTGTGTGTAAAAGAGGCCACCAGCACCTTCACTGTCTGAGGAAATTGTCTTTCTGCCATGCAGAACCATGATGACACTGTTCTATAAAATTTTTATGGAATCAGTTTTAACTTTTTTGCTGGTCTCATGGTTTGGGAGCATCTCTTGTAAAAACAGTAACTCCTTTAATCTGTCGGTTAAATGGGCAAGTGAGGTGACTGGCCATCCTCAGAGCAGCCGGGACTCCCTGTACTTAAGTCACTTACAGAGGATGTCCCAGAGTATTTTAAAAGACATGCAACATCCTCTAAACTGTTTCAGCTGCTTCCCTCTGGTCAGAGGCTTTTAGTGGCAAGATCTAGAATAAATCATTTTAAAAGGAGCTTTGTTCCAGCTGCTATTGCACTAATGAATAAACTGTAATCTATTTATTTATAGATGTTCGTACCCTGTTTTGAAAAGTTGTGTTTTTTTATATATTTAGTATTTATTGTGATTTTTAGCCAAGTGTGATGAATGAATGAATTATTTGTAGGACAAAACCATACACTTTATTTGTAATTGCGTTGTATATATGACTATATATGTGTATAGTGTTTATGAATGAGATGTGAAATGTGGAACCAGCCTCTGAAATCAGTAAAACAAATTTACCTAAGGGCCGAAAAAAGCAACCTAACCTAAAGATTTACCTGTTTCTTTATACATTTCAGTTACTATCTAAATCTGGTTGTTGGTTTATCCATATTTGCCAAATTGTTGTGCATTACTTTGCTTTTCCTTATGTTGTTACTGTGTACATTACTGTGTATGCCAGTGTATGAGCCTCAGGCCTTAGTGGAAAAGCTGAAAAACGTAAAGAACTTAAAACAGCCACTTAACCACGTGACCCTTCAGAGATTTCAACCCACTCAAAAAAAAACAAAAAAAAAAAAAACAGCAAAACATGGCCAAGACTCTGCATTAAGAGGGCTACAAACTACTATTTCTAAACCACTGGTCTGTCTGCTTTATGTAATTTGCCGTCTCTATCTGATGCTCTGATCATTGGTCCGTTGTCATCATGTTCCACTGGAGGGATTACAGCAGCTCATGATGAAAGACCAGTTCTCTCTCTCTCTTTCTCCCTCCCTCCCCCTATCTCTCTTTCCTTTCTGTATCTCTACCTATCTCTCTGTCCACACAAGGCTGCTGGGTTGAGGTGTGCTCAGTTTCCTCAACCCAGACTTGTTTTGACTCCTGTTTACAATTGTATTAACATTTTTGGCCGCGTGAGTCGGAATGATTCTGTTAGTGTTGGTGCAGAGAAAGAGCAGCGCCGTGCCCTGCCTCATCTGAATGGCTCTGCTCTGATGTCTTGAAATAGCGTAGGGCTGGAAGTTCGTCCCTGTCTCTGATGTTGTGCATGGGCAGTGCCTTTAGTGCAGTCCAGTGTGTGTCTTGAGGCATGAAGCTGTATTATAGATGAATGTAAAGCAAGTGACTACAGGGTTAACAATGGAGTAAACTTGTAACTTTGGGGGTCCGTCACCGTCTTGTTTCTATGTATATGTCTTTGCTCTGTCTGGAATGTTCCATAGTATG